GCCGCGGCGGGGGGGGGAAAATGATTGATGAAGCAGCCGCGGCTGGTGATAGCCCGACCAGCGGCGTCGACTATGCAGGGCTGCCTGGGCTACTTCCCCAGGCGGGCGCCCGCGACATCTTCCCGCTGCCGCTGCAGGAGGAGGTCGAGGGCGCCCTGGGAGCAGGATGTCGAGGAGGGCGTGAACGCCGACGGCTTCTACATGTGAAAGTTCTGAATGAGGCCATCTCGAGCCTCAACTGGCTGGCAGGTGCGAGTGTGGGTTCCTCCGCGCCTCTCCTGTCGGACATGCAGCTGGACGTCATCAAGCGCATCGATGGGCAGGTGTGCGACATCGTGCAGCCGATGCGAGGCGAGCAGCTGCCGCCGCCGTATTCAGCCCTACGGGAGTTGATGCGTGGGAGATCGCCATACCTGGGTGGTCCTCCCGAGGATCTGCTTGCCCCCTACCGACCTGGGCTTCCCTCGCTTCCCGTCAGCATCAGTGAGGCACCTGAGCTTCATGAACTTCTACGGGGACGGGCGCGCCAGTTTGTGGAGGGGCAGGGCGAGCGCATGCTGCGCGACCTTGATGGCGTGAAGGAGATGCTGGTGCGGTGCCCGCGGGTTCCCTTCAGCGAGCCCTCGTTGGTACGGAGCCGACGGAGGTATAGCGATTTTGTGAGGGACTTTGTGAAGCGCGGCCTGGTGTCCTTCAGCCGCGCGGTCGTGGAGATGGTGGGTATATTCTTTGTGTGGAAGAAAGGGGGGAGAGATCGCGTATGATACTTGATTGCCGAAGAAGCAATGCCTGGCTGATCGATCCACCTTCGGTCCAACTCTTGACCGCGGAGGGGTTGTCAGCATTCGAGCTCGAGGAGGTGGGCGGAGCACGAGATCACCTGGGGGCCGCCCACCTTGCTGCCATAGAGGACGTGGAGTTCTCAGTGGGCGTGGCGGACGTGAAGGACGCTTTCCATCGCATGCGGCTGCCAGCCTGGATGAAGCGGCTGTTCGGCCTCCCCAGCCTCCGAGCCGGCGACGTCGGGATCCACGGGGGCCGGCTGGGCGGCGAGGTGCTGAGCTTCGACGACCTGGTCTACCCGATCCCTGAGGCGCTGCCGATGGGGTGCACGTGGGGCCTCTACTTGTGCCAGAGTGTGACAGAGCTTCGTTGCCAGTTTGCCCCCGCCATCGCAGGGAGTGCGCCCTTGAGCGTTTTGGGGGGGGGGGGGGGGGCCGCTGGTGTTGGAGATCTTCTGCGGGACCGAGCAGGTGGATCACTATGTGTACGTGGACAACATGGGCGTCCTGGGCCAGAACTGGGAGCGCGTCAGCAACAGCCTTGACGAGCTGGTGCGGGCTTTGGAGGCAGTCGGCCTTAAGGTCCACGGGCGAGAGGTCCGCAGCGACGGGATCGAAGTGCTCGGGGTGGTGTTGGACGGCCAGAGGCTGCAGACGCGTCCGTCGCTGAAGCGGGTCTGGAGGGTGCGGCACGCGCTCGTGGGAGTGCTGCAGATGCGGGCGGTGCGCGGGCACGACCTCCGCGTGCTGCTGGGCCATTGCACCTATCTTGTTCTCGTTCGGCGGCCTGTGCTGTCAGTATTCCATGCATGCTACCGCTTCGTCTCGAAAATGCAGAATGATTGTGCGCCTCTTTGGAGGAGTTGTCGAGAGGAGCTCGAGGCTTTCAAAGGCCTGCTGCCCATGATCGTGTCTGACTGGTGGCTCCCATGCAATAGGTGGGTTCAGTGTTCGGATGCCTCTGAGACTGGCTACGGGATATCTGGGAGCTACTGGGACCTCGAGTCTTTAAACGTCGTCGGGCGGTGTCGTGAGAGGAGGCGTTCAGGGCGGAAGAGGGTCAAGAGGCACGTCGATCAGCTCTTACAGCGGCGGGTCCTGGGGAATTCTTGGAGGCGAAAGTGGGGGGGGGGGGCGAAGCTGTGCGTGGACGAGGGCGAGAAGTGGTTGATCGAGACCACGTTGCCCGAAGGGGATTACGAGTTGGACCCCGACTTCTCAGAGGTGCCCAGTCGTCTCTTGGCACACCCGTTGCGGCGTGATGTAGGAAAAGGGGTCTGGAGATACAGTGAGCATATAGGAATCCTCGAGGCTAGAGCGCTCGTGCAGAGTTTAAAACGCATTGCGCTCACTCGGTTTGGCTTTGACGCTAGGCAGGTACTCCTTGTAGACAATCTAGGGGTGGCCCTGGCGTTTGACAGAAGTAGGTGCAAGAGTTTTGCCATTTTGCGTCAGGTTCGTAGATTCTCGGCCTACCTCTTGGGGCGGAACCTTAGGGCGATTGTTCGATGGATCCCTAGTGAACTCAACAGTAGTGATGAGGGATCCCGAGCAGAGGGAGGACAACCCTCCAATATTCTCACGCGGTTGATCCCTGTTTCCTTGCCTGCCTTTTCTCTTCCTCCTGTTCCCGAGTCCAAGGATGGAGGAGGCGCTGATGTGAGTTTCAGTCCGACACCCCCCCCGTGTCTGTGCACGCACTTCAAACCCCGACAGCTGTTGGCGAGATGAACGAGCCTCCGAAGTGAATCCGAATAGGGGCCTTTTTGTGTTAGATGGCATGAGCCCGCCAAATCTGAAGCGCCTTTTTGCGCCAGTAAATCCTTCGCACACAGCTGCCAGCTGTTCTTGCGTAGACGTTTTGGCTCGAGATCGTTGTGATGCTCTCGGGCCCCGCCTCCAGGAGTTGCCTGCTCCCGAGGTCACCGCCGCCCGCCGAGCAGCCGCAGGATCGGCGGGCGAATGTCCTGACCCGCGAGGCGGCGAGGCCGCCTGCCTCAGCCGCGCTCCAGAACCAGATCGGTGGCAAGCGGCCCGCCGAGGCGGCGAAGGGCCAGGCCGCGCCGAGCCTGGAGGAAGCGGGCGCGGACGTGAGCTGCGGCACCCGAAGGCGCGCCACTGGAGAGCGGGGGCGGTCAGCCGTGTCGAGCTCGAGCGGCACTACCAGCGAATCCGATGCCGCCGCCGCTGCCAAGCGCCAGAGGACACTTGAGAAGCGGGTCCAGCGGCGGTATGCGGCAGCGTCACGGGCGATCGAGGACGGAGTGCCGACCAGACGCTACCTGGAGTCGAGCACGGTGACGCCGAAGGTACGAGCACCGTGTCACAGAGAGCTAGAGCAGATGGAAGACCGATGTGGCCGCCAGGACTTGTTCGAGATGCTGTTAGAGACTCTGGAGGTATGTGTAGTACGCTACCTCACGACTTTGTGTCTAGAAGGGGAGCAGGTGTCCACGGGCATGTGTGTGGCGGCGGCTGTGAACCATTTCTTCCCAAGGGATGGGAGATTGGGGGCCAGTGCGCTACCCCGTATCCGCCCTGGGGATGGTGTCAAGCCTGGGGGTGGCAGCCGCTTCTGGGGCCTGCTGATGTACCCGCAGCAGAAAGCCCCCCCCCGACAAAGTGGGGGAGTTCGGCCTGAGTGTGAAGCTGGACTCGTCGTGGCTGCTGTGGCCTGGGCCAGTGCTGGAGGCGCCGCGGCGAGAGGACCTGCCGAAGCCAGTGCGGCAGTTCGACTACCCGCAGCTGCTGCGAAGGCTGCGGTCCGCTTGCGACACCATGCAGCTGGGGCGGCTCACGCCCTACCCGGCCAGGCACTCGGTGGCAAGCATAGATCGCGCCAGCAACGAGCGGAGCCAGGCCGAGGTGCAGAGGCGCGGAGGCTGGTGGCAGCTCAAGAGCGTGGCGAGGTACGAGAAGAGTGCGCAGCTCGAACATCGCGCGCCGCAGCATTCGGCGGTGATGGTGGCGTACGGGGAGCAGTGCCTGCGCGAGCTGGAGCCCGCCATGCCGTGGGGCCGTGCGGCGCCGCTGCCGGGCGGCATCCAGCCCTTGCCCAGTGCCCGAAGGTGATCCTCGTTGGGGGCGAGCTGACGAGCGTCGGACAGCAGCTCGCTTCCCAGGGGGTACCTGGCTGGTTGTGGCAGGCGAACGTGCTGAGCGATTGCGAGCTGGGTGCCAACTTAGAACGTCGGATCCGAGCGCATGTTCGGCGACGGGAGGCAGCGACAGTCTTCCTTTCTCCACGCATCCAGGGAGCGAGTAAGGCCAGCGGGAACCGTTTCTGTCGCTACAGAATTCGAAGATATGCAGAGCGTGTAGGACGCATTTGTTCAGATTGCTGGTGTCATAACATTCCAGTGTTAGTCGAGATGCCTGAGGTTAGTCGACTGTGGGCGCCCTTTGTCCGCTCTCTCGTGAACGTGCCTGCCTCTTTCGTCGTCAAGTTTTGCAGTGACAGGTGTAGGTTTGGCACGCCCTGGAAGCATCGTTGTAACTATATGTGCCTCGGGAAGGTGCCAGAAGATGTCGCAAGTCTGGCGCACACCTGTGAAAGCCGCAATGGAATCTGTGACAGGACCCAGCGCCCCCACATTCAACTTAGGGGGCGTGACCAATTAGGCCAGAGTCGTAGCCAAGCCAGTGTGAAACGACCTGCCCTTTTAAATTTTGCGCTCGCTCGGTCTCTGCTAAGCCTCTCGGGAGCCTCCATATACAACTGTAACCCTGTGTAGGGGTTCGGGAGTCTCGGGTGTCAGCTCTCACTTCAGTGTTTCTCTCGTGAGGGAGCTTCCCTCTGCCTTGTACTGTGGAGGAGCAGCCCGCTATCGCTGCAAGCGGGCTTGTTGAGAAGTCGTTCCCCGCCTAACAAACAGCATATCATGGGGGCGCGTGCGCGTACATGATTAAGCGGGGAGTGGAGTGTCGTCGTTTCGGCAGTTGTAGCAAGCAGGTTATCAATTCAGTTTCTGCTTCTCTCTGCTGCGTGCGTCCCTCTGCAGCCGTTCGAGGGCCCCCGCCCGCCCTAACTCTAGGAGTCTCGGGTGTCAGCTCTCACTTCAGTGTTTTCTCTCGTGAGGGAGCTTCCCTCTGCCTTGAACTGTGGAGGAGCAGCCCGCTATCGCTGCAAGCGGGCTTGTTGAGAAGTCGTTCTCCGCCTAACAAACAGCACATCATGATGATGAGGAGGAGGAGGAGGATGAGGAGGATGATGAGAAGGATGAGGAGCAGGAGGAAGATCGCGCGACCGCTTCCCGCTATGATAGTATCGTCGCACTTAGCGCCTCGCCCTCTTCCTGCTTCCCGCTGCCCGCCGCGCTTAGCGCCTCGTCCGCGTCCCGCTGCGGAAATGCTTCGCAGACCCTATCATAGATCAATCGTGGAGGCCATCGATTCGACAGCGTTGCATTTTCGCCTCCGCTGTGTTTAAGTCGAATCAACAGGAGACAAAGGAGGACGTGGAGTACGGAGGAAACGAACGATAAGCATGAGGATTCCGATGGTGATGGTGCTGCTGCTGATGATGATGCTGATGCTGGTAATGACGATCATGATGTCGATGACAAGGATGAGGATGATGCCAGTGATGAAGATGACAATGATAATCATATGGATGGTGATGACGATGTTGATGACGATGCTGTTGACGACGATTATGCTGATGATGATGATGAAAATGATGATGCTGATGCTGATAACGATGATGGTTATGGCGATGGTGATGGTGATGGTGATGCTGATGATGCTGATGTTGTTGTTAATGATGCTGATTTGGATGTGGATTTCGACGGCGATGACGAGGACTATGCTGATGATCATGATGGCGATGACGAGAATGCGGAGGATGATAACACTTAGGAAGAGGACACTGGTGATGATATCGATGGTGAGGGTGATGACGTTGTTGCTACTAATGACGATGATGACGATGATAATGACGATGATGCTGATGCTGATGCTGATGCTTATGATGATGCTGATGATGCCGATGATGATGATGCTGATGATCATGATGATGATGATGAGGAGGAGGAGGAGAAGGAGGAGGAGGATGATGACGAGGATGATTACAATGACGACGACGATGGCGGCGATGCTGGTGATACAACGAGCTGGTCCGTGTAGCATTGATATTAAGCCGTGTGTGGATGTGTGGATAGAGTCTTCTGTGGGCAAGGTTTTGTTGAATCGAATCGGTCCGCAAGGGTTGGGCAGAAAAGCGATACATTCGTGTGGGGCATGCGTAGTTGGAACCAGAAGTCCTGCGCGTAGTTCTACGCCCGCGCACGCCGTTTCCCCCAGTCTCGGAACAGCGACGTGCCATTGTTCTCCAAGCTGTGCGGAGCGAGCCTATCTGTGGGTGATCGTCCCGACCACGTGCTGGATGACCGCGCCCCCGACGTGCTCCTGCGTGGGTGGCGGGCGGGCAGACTCCAACCTGATTCTCGGGGCGCCCAACCTGCAGGCAAGATTTTTATCCATATCCACTGCGTCTTGGAGTTTCGGGTTCCCATCCTCCGATACCAGAGGCGCCGAGGATGTGGATAAACAACTTCGCCCCTGGAGGTCGGATTTCTATTCATATCCACTGTGCCGCGTTCTGTTGGCGCCCCGTCCCAGAAAATCCAAGGCGCAGTGGATATGGATATAAATCGTGCCCGCACAACCGTCAGGTTTCTGCCCAAGCTTGCCAGCGAAGCTGTATAGCAGGCGTGGCCAGCCGCTCCCGCCCGCTCTGAAGCGGATCAGATTTCAGAGTTGTGCCGACCAGGTCGTTCATTTTACGCATCGTAGCGTTCGAGTCTTCGTCGTCAGGCCGCACCCAGCCCACAATCAGGCGTAGCATACGTCGTTGAACAACGACCCGCTGCTCCTTTGGAGCGTCGACAGAGCAAGCGTTGGCAAACCGAACAGTATCGTGGGCGTCACGACTGAATCGAAGAGCTTGAAACCACGATGGAATTAAATGTGTTTGTCCGTTAGACTGCCACTTCGCTCCTGGAACTTTCCCCAAGCGGCCTGGAACCAGTGCGACAACTCAACGTCAGCACGCTGCCGCAAAGACCCTGTCATCTCGCGTCCCAACTGTCAATGCGCATCGCGGCCAAACAGGACTATGACCGCGTCGCCTCCGATCGCAGTGTACGTCGGCCGAGTAAGATCCTCCGTCGTCAGGCCTTCTGTCTTCGACCCGTTGAGGTGCACGCCAGCGCTCGAAGAAGAAAAATCGCCATAAACATAGACTTTCGACGCTCTGCGCAGATTTCTTGGATCCGCGCTGGGCCCCCCAGCGGCGCCTCCGGCGCCGCCCATGGCGCGCTCCGCGCGCCAGGGAGGGGTGTTCTGCGCAGATTCAAGAGATCCGCGCGGAGCGCCAACAGTTTACGTTTATGGCGGCTCTTCTCCTACTAAACGCGGCGGAGTCCAACGCAGCGGAGTTCAATGCGGCGAAGTTCCACGTGCGGAGGTAACGTAGACCATGAGGCTGTTTGCGTGCCGGACGTGGGTGAGCCTCGCGCCAGCAGCGCCGCTCACGTACAGTCCACGATTGCCACCGAGAGTGCGAGCTCCAGGCCCGGCGCTGAACAGCATGGGGCTGATGACTCGAAGAAGAAAAAACGCCACAAACAGAAACTTTTTTGGGTCCAGCGCGGATCCAAGAAGTCCGTGCAGAGCGCCAAAAGTTTATAATTATGTCGTTTTTTCTTTCTGTATGATGACGTCCCCCTGCCTGACACGTCTACTGATGCCGAAGCCTCGCGAGCCCTGCGCGCGACCCGACTGGTGCTTGGACAGCATCGACAGTAGAGCTGTGTATGGTTGGCCCACGCCTTGCCCGCGCAAGGCTTCAAACAGAGCAGGGTTCTCCATCCGTTCAAGCGCTGTTTTCAGATCGAGGCTTGCCGTCCAGCGTCCAGAGACCTTCAGGAGGCGAAAAAACACACAGACACAATAAATCGTCGACTTCCCCAGAAAATATGGGAAACTATGGGAAGTGGGGGGGAAGACAGAAACCCAGAAATTATGGGAAAATATGGGGAGTCCTGTTATTTGTGTGTATTTATTTGTGTGTCCCAGCGCCCCTTCATTCAAACAGAGCAGGGTTCTCTATCCGTTCAAACGCTGTTTTCAGATCGAGGCTTGCAGTCCAGCGTCCAGAGACTTGCCGCGTACATGTTCTATCACTGCGCAAGCATCGTTGATTGAGGGCAGTTTCTGGAAGCCTGCCTGGTCAGGCGGCTGCTTCGTTTCAAGGTGCCTCTTCAGCATTTCGTGCGCCAGCATTGAGCATATCCCATACGATGTCCGCAAGATGGCGATGGGTAGCCAGCTGCCAAGCTTGCTCGTGCTTTTTCTTTCACAGAGACCACAAACAATCTGATTTTCGTGGAGGCGTGGATCGACGGTGCCCGCCCGAAGTGTGTTTTTGAACATGGCCAGCAAAACATCAGGAGGGGAAAAAACACACAGACACAATTAATCGTCGAGTCCCAGGAAAATATGGGAAAATATGGGAAGCGGGGGGTAAGACAAAATCCAGAAAACATGGGAACATATGGGGAACATTTTATTTGTGTGTATTTATTTCTGTGTCCTGGGGCCCCTTGAAAACAACCCGTCCTGTGTCGGAGGCGCGCTTGAACATTTGGAGCACCAAGCCGTACTTGTCCTGGCGATTCTGCCAGCCCACCTTGCGGAGACCGAGCTTGTGTTTCGTCCCGTCGGAATTCGGGAACGCCTTCGAACCCCCGCTATTGGCTTCGCTGCAGGTTCTCCGCCAGAGAGTTGATGCCTTTGTCAACCGCCAAATAAGGGGCAACAGTTTCAGCAAGAAAGTCCAAACTTTGTCGTGGGGAGACGTCTGCAGATGATGCCTGCTTTCTGTTGAGCGCGGAAAAAAACACAACCAATCCAATTGCTTCAGGCCGCTGGACTCTCCAGGATTAGCTCAGCCTGGTCGTTCCTGCGTCGTCGAATCTCTGTGCAAGCCTGCTTTCGAATCCGTTAGGAGAGCTGCCGGCGGACAGATGCGTCTGAACACGCACGTCGTCCTTCGAGCAGGGGCTGGAATTCAGCATTGTCCCAGAACTTGTCAGACCTCGCATTTTCGAGCCCGCTGCCACACATTGGCGAATGTGGGAGGAGCCCAATCTGTGGAACACTACGGTCAGGAACTTTTGCTTAGCGTGTCGCGCCGCCCGTTCCGGCCCACCATGCTTCGGCACGACGCGCCAACCGCGTCCCTGTCCCAAAGCGTCACAGTCTCGAGCTTTTCCCAGCTCTCCGTTCCGCGGAGAGGAGCGACACGCTACCCACTTGCACTGCATAGCGTGCGGCTCCCAAGAGACCCCCAAGAACCCAAGATGGACAACGAGGGCTTTAATATGTTCCGAAGAAGGTCACGCTAGATGGCCCTCTTTGGGAGTCGGGGGTACCGCTATTTTTCAAGATTGTGAAATCTTGCGGTGAGGGGCAAGAAAAGAGAGGGTGAGAGGGGGATGTGAGGATGGAAGATGCAGGGTGGAGGAGCGAGGCGTCAGGGAGGAGGGATGACTGAGTAAGAACGAGTAGGAACGAAGAGGGAGGAGGAATTATTGCGGATCGAGAAGGGAGCGCGCAATATGCTCAAGGTGATTTTGTTTTCCGATCATCTGCTCTGCCGCGCTTCGTCACAGTGAAGCACAAGGATCGAGACAGAACAAGTAATCATCTTAATTCTCCTCATCCTCCTCTTTTTCGCACTCTCCACGCGGGCGTTCTTCTGTTTTCGGGGGGGGGGGGGCGGGGGGGCAGAAGATCCAGCGAGGACTTGCCGCAGAAAGAAGACACTGCCGTCTGAAGATTTCCACCGCGCCAACGAATACCGAGCTCTTGTATCGAGTAAGAGGAGGACGACGACCAGAGTAAACCCGAACTGTGTCAGCGATGCTGCAGTACGTGTGCACCCTCCCTTCCCAAGTCCCCCTCAGTCCTTACAGGCATTTTTCACTGCGCGAAGCACCGCCTTGAAAGACACGAGCCTGGTGGCCTGCAATTCAGGTGGCAGCCCCACTTTCAAAAGGAGCTGCCGCGCATCTTTGAGCGGTACGGGATGCGACAAAGTGGAGCCACAGAGTCTACGGAGGTCGCGACGGCCGCCCCGCTTCGAGAATGGACCGCCCTCCATCCGTGTACCTGTTGCTCAAGTCTTGTGGAGGACGATCAATGGAGAGGAAGCATGTTGCCAAATAATTTCCAGATGTCTAAAACATGTGTTGGACATGGTTTAAACATGTAAAAACACATGTTTAGAACATGTTTGTAACATTTTCCGACATTTTAAACACAGTTCAATTCAATGATCGGACTGTTAGAGTGTCCATTGTCGTGGCATCCACAGCTCAAGTCGAGACTTCTGGTCATGAGCCGTACGGCAGGATCAGGCGATTGCCCCCTTTGGAGAAGGAGCCGTCCTTCATCCGGGTGGCTGTTGCGCACTTTTCAGCGGCAAGCGAGGGGGGAAGTGAGAAGGAGAAGGCCCTCTCAAAGGCGGCGGGACTTCTCAGAAACCCTCGCGCCCTCTGAGAGTTTTTTTTTGTCTTCGGGGAAGGCTTGGAAAACTTCTCGGAAGGCCGGGGGACTTCCGAGCCTTCTGAGAAGGCCTTCCCCTGGGCGCGCCGCCTACTTGTGGAACCCGAGTCTTTTTTTGACCGGGGTCGCAGGCGAGAGCCCGATTGTGAAAAGGAGGTGCCTTCCGTCAGTGGAGCTCTTTGGCTTCTGTGCAAGAATGTCCGTGGCGCCACGGCGAGAGCCAAGTGAAGAAGCGGCCCGCCGTTCATCAGCATGGCTGTCGGGAAGCTCAAGCTTCAGTGTCGTAGCCTGTGAGGGTGTTGTCTCAGGCGAAACGCCCGTACAGTCGGGGCCCTGAGGAAGGAACCCTTTTCGTTGGGGAGGGGCTCCGCGTTCCTTCAGTGTTTCACAGCTTGCCTCAGGCTTTCCTTATGTTCTCGACAGGCAATCGAAGGTTAACTTATGGAAAAAAGGGGCCTCGTTCCTTATTTAGGGTTCCTTGGGTCAACGCCCCAACTGTACCGCCTGAACGACACGTCTGGTGGTGCAGCAGGGAGGCGTTACCTCGTGGTCTGCGGCACATCCGCCACCGTGCCTGGGTCGTGGACCCGAGGCTTCATGGATGAACACAAGGGTCTCTTGGAATGCCTCTCGTGGGCCTCCCAGTGGGCTCTTGAAGCCCCCCTGGGGGGCTTCTTGAAGACCTCTTGAGGCCTTCTGGGGGCCCCCTGGCGGCCTTTTGCGGGGCCCTGCTGGGGCCCCCCCCCGCAGTTATCGAGGGGAGCGCGCTGGCTGTATCCTGCGATGCCGCCCCGAGATACTCTTGGAGCCTCGCCAGGCTGGTGGCGAGCCCAGTCATACCGTGTTGACGCGGGCTGGTGGTACTGACGAGCAGCCAGAGCACGCGTGGAGGCTCCACGTGTTCAACGTCACGACGTCCTCATATTTCAAGAAGTTCAGAGGCTTTCGCCGCGCGGGTGGTAGGAATCACTTTGGCCCGCGGCCGCGTCTGGGCGTATGGAGACGGACGCCGAGGAAGTGGCACTGACGTCCCTCGGCCCTGGGGCTTTCCCTTGCTGGAGTCTCATCCCTTCACCGGCACCGCCAGTATTGGGTCTAAGGATGAACCTTTCAAGCACGGTGTGGTGGGCAGCGCGTACTGGTTCGCTGGAATGGGCTGCGCGGGGCTGAACAGTGAGCTCCTGAAACAGGTCGGAGAGATCTTGCGGGCGCACGGGGTCGTGTTTCCGAAGGGTCTTGGGGGTGTTTTCGTCAGAACCTCCCCCTGCAAAGGGGGGAGGTATGGGGGGGCTTAGAGGGCTTTCCAATAAAGTCGCTCCCTTGCAAAGGGGGTTGGGGAGTTTAGGGGGGCGGCTTGCAGATGTCTGCGGCTCACCTGCCGCGTGCTGGCCCGGGCACTTGCGGGTGGATGTCGTCTCGGACTTGGAGCAGCATGGGGCTTGTCGGCTGAGAGCTCTGCGCACCAAACGTTGTGTTTTGTTTCCGTGCTGTCCCCAGCGCGATCTGTCGCGGAGCAGTGCCAGGTCCTTCCT